AGAGCAAGCATGTTCTCCATAGGGGAAAATTTGCCCACAACAGGACATACATGTTAAGAAATACAAAATGATTTTGGATGGCTAATACGGAATCCGCTTGCATACCAGGCACAATGTAAGCTCCAGTTTTGTCCAGTTCGCTCTACATTGAGTGTCTGGGACATAGTAACTCAATATAATTTTATGAAATGAAAGAGTGAAGAGTTTTGATTAATGATACGCTAAGAATTTGCCAGGTGCAGTGGCTCATGCCCATAATCCCAGCACTTTGGGAAGCTGAGGTGGGTGGATCACACGAGCTCAGGAGTTCGAGACCAGCCTGGCCAAGATGGTGAAACCCCATCTCTACTAAAAATACAAAAAAATTAGCTGGGCATGGTGGCTCGTGTCTATTATCCCAGCAACTGCACTCCAGCCTGGGTTACAGAGCAAGACTCTGTCTCAAAATGAAAAAAAAGAATTCACCAAAGGTTTGAGGGAAGAGGTGATACTTGATGAAAGTGATGTCTAAAACTGATTAATATGTATACATGATAGATCTAAGGAAAAAGACTAACATCCAGAAATAAAACTAGGAGATTATTTTATTAATCTAGAGAGGAGTGATAAAAGTCTAGGGTAGGTTGGAAAAAAGAGACTTACAGTGAAGGCACTTAAAAGAAAATCAGCATGAACCTTGAACATTTTATGCTGAGTGAAAGAAGCCAGTCATAAAGGACCACATATTATATGATTGTATTTACATGAAATCTCCAGAATAGGCAAATCTATAAAGACAGAAAATATATTTATTTAATTTTTTTTTTTTTCTTTTTGAGAAGGAGTTTTTGCTCTTGTTGCCAAGGCTGGAGTGCAGTGGTGCAATCTCAGCTCATTGCAGCCTCTGCCTCTTGGGTTCAAGCAATTCTCCCTCAGCCTCCCAAGTAGCTGGGATTACAGGCATGCACCACCATGCCTGGCTAACTTCTTTGTATCTTTAGTAGAGATAGGGTTTCACCATGTTGGCCAGGCTGGTCATAAACTCCTGACCTCAAGTGATCTGCCCACCTGAGCCTCCAAAAGTGCTGAGATTATAGGCGTGAGCCACTGCACCCAAACAGGGTTGCAGGGGCAGCGTAGAGAGAAAATGGAAGTGACTACTAATGGATATAGAGTTTTTCAGAGAGTTGGTAGTATGTCCTAAAACGGATTGGTGATGTTTCACAACTCTGTGACTAAAACGAAGAAACGAAGAACCACTGAATTGTAGACTTTCAATAGATGAATCACATGGTATGTGAATTATATCTCAATATAGCTGTCATTTAAAAGGAGGGGGAATAAATGAAATGTGTTGAATGATATGATATATCTATTTGATGGAGAAAATGAGTCACTCACTATAAACTTCATAAGCTCCCATTTGATTCTTACTGAAATAATAAAAATAGCCACTGCACCATTAGCCCTGGCTGATGCAACAAAAAATGAAACATAAATAAGAGATATGATATTAGAAAGACCCAAAAGAATCACCTAAAAATCGTTAGCATGTATGGAAATTCAGTAATTATTGTCATATGGTAAGATGCACATGAGTGTCAGTATATTCTAATACACCAGCAAACGCTAATAAGGAAAATATACAAAAGTTTAACCTAAAATAAAATAAATAATAAATGTGAGTAGCTTGTACACGGAAATAAATTTGTATTAAGTAGTAATAAGTGAAGATTTAATGAAATGGAGATACGTATCACATTGTTTTAGAGGAAGACTAAATATTATGACAATCTCAATCCCCAGAGCTTATTAAGGTTCCTAGTTAAGAATAAGTATACATTGCTGACAGTGTAAATTTGGTGAAATATTTCAAAAGCCTTCAAAATGTTCACACCCTTTCTCCAAGGAAATCTAAATGGAGAAAAAACTTTATGCACAAGATGCGCAAACTTCTTCTTTAGATCCTGGATGATCGCTCGCATGTCTTCCTCAGCGTCTTCTCTTCTCATCCCAGCTTCATCAGCCTTTACTCACCTGGTTTCCAGACTGTTCTCTATCCTGGTTGTTTTCCCTTAAATGGGCTATAGTCTGTTAATGCCTCTCTTTCAATGCCTCATTAAAGTTTCGTTGTCTAGAGAAGAGTGAAATGAGGAAAACCGAACTCAACTCAAGTGCTACCATCACAATTTAGAAATAACTTCATGATGAATTGAAAAGTGTTTACCGGTGGTTGCATATATGATTTGTCACTGGCTATTTCTTAGAAAGTACATATCATGTGTTGGTATTAGGATCATGCCTTACTGGGGTTTATTGGAGTTAATGGTTCCTCAGAGAACATAAATAAAAGAAGGTCCATCTATGGCTTTCTAAAGGTAATGGAGAGCAAAGTAAGTTGAAGAATGGTGGGAAATATATGCTTGACTCAAAACAGCCAGGATAATTTCTACCCCCTTTACTAAGAAAAAAAACTCAACTCTCACAAAGCAATAAACCTGATTTTTCTGTTCACCTTCTGCAGTTTAATGCAAAATTATTATACATTTTTTAATGCACAAACACAGCTAATACAAAGTGACAATTTGGTTGAACCAGGGTAAGAAATAGAAAATGAGTTTGGATAGCTAATACATATATATGTAATATACACAATTTTGTATATGGTTGTGTTTTTGCTTCTCTGACTTATTCCCCTCCCTAGAGTTAACCACCATTATATTTATTTATCTTTTTTTCATAGAAAAGTTATTCTTTTATTATCTTAAAGAGTAACACATAGCCCAATATGCCAAAGCAGTAGGGAATTAGAGGTAGCAAATGGCCAGGTTTTTTTAAGAGCCTTATGCTGCATCTCTGAGCTTCTGTCTGCCCACAGCCTCTGGCTGCTTACCTGACGGTCGGCTCAGTGGACAGATGACCCAACTCGACATCCATTAACTGAGAAAGGGCTCAATGGGCGACACTGCAGACGCACTGCCAGGGCCCAGCATGCCAGGCAGCATCTCCCGCTGCCACCACCAGCTCCCAAGGCTAGTGCTGTAGTGGCAGCCAGTGTGTCTAGCACTTGATTTTATTTCTGTGAGCCTAGAGTAGGCAGGATGTGAATAAATCCTGAGTCATAAATTCAGGTGAAAGACTTAGTAGTGTTAATACTCTGGGTGAGAAAAGACAACACTTTCTTGGAGGAGAGTGGACTTAGAGTCTGGTGGAAGAAAGATGGAAACTCACAGAATGGCCTCGGCCTGCAGGCACTGCCTTGAGGACATGAGAGGGGGTTTTCACGGTACAGGGAGAGAGGGGCAAGGCGGGGTAGGCACTGGGCAGCTGCTTCCTCTGGCACAGTTAAACCGAGGTTCATCTTCCACTCATACTTGGTTTCCTAGGTCTAGGTCTAAGTCACCACATATGGGTGACTGAAGCAAGCCTTGCCTATGCATCAAGCATGGCCTTGGAACTCGACGAAACGCATGGCTTACTTCTCCAGTATTGAAGGGGAAAGACTCTCAGTTGAAGGAGATCTTTCTCCCCACACTTCCAACTCCTTTCCTTTGCAAATGACCAGGTGCGAGCCAAGAGGCAAAGTCACCTCCTGGTACAACCCACCACAGTCTTCCAGAGAACTCATCTTCGTGGGACCCAAAGTCTAGCCTTGGCTTGGATCAGACTTGTTTCCACCCATGGGAGGGCACCCTGTCTGGCAATTGAATGGAATCATCATCATATTTATTTCTAAAACATGGATCATTCCATGATGTTTAAAAACCACTTCAGTTTTTATCTCTGGTATTATGTATAGCTTCCTTTTTTGCAAAAGACATGATTCCATTTTTTGTAGTCTTTTGGTTTTATATTACCAGTCACTGCTACCTACTCACCTAGACATTGTAATTTCTCGTTAGGTATAATTTATACTATATTTTCCTCAGATATTATTTTTTATAAAACTGTAATGTAACTATATACATTTGAAAGAAAGTATCCAACTATTTTCAGTTATTTCCAGCTATTTCCAAATTAAGTGTAATCTTCAATTGTTTTCTTATATCAAAACCAGCATGTTTTTGTATATGCATTAATTAGAAGTAAAGGCAGATTTTATTTAGCTGATATGTGAAATGCTGAAGTCTTTGAAGCTCATGGGCATTAGTTAAGTAAGAAAGGATCGATGGACCATGGGTTCCAGACTTGGGATGTATACAAGCCAACAGACGAGGCCACTGTGAAAGGCAGGCAGATGCAAGACCCTGGGGCCTGGTGGGGACAGCTGTCAGGCAGAGCAGATATCGAAGCAGAAACAGGCAGCCCCTTTGCTGGGCCGGGATCATTATCACATTGAATCCAAGCCTAGTTGCTCTAGATCATCTGATTTTTCCAAAAATCTGCATTTGTATGTGAAATTTCCCGATGTTTAAGTTGCCTCATTTTAAAAATCACCACGAGTTAAAAGAAAAAAAAAAACCTTCAGGCTGAAAATGGCCATCAGACTGCCATACTGCAAGCTCTTTTTATTATACTTACCAGCAGCAAAAAAAAAAAACCTATTTTCCCACATTTCACTATATGTTCTTGGGGAAGATGGTGAAAAAAACGATCCCATTCTCTTTTCATCAGAGAAAAGGTATTATTGCATTTACAGCATAAACTTATGCATTCAGATTTACTCTGTATGTTTTCTGTTTACTTTGGGAAACCTACCACATTCCTTTTATACCACACCCTAACAGTGAAGTTGGTCAGTCAAAGTAGGGTTCCCCATTTGTTGATTCTCAATCTTTTATACCACACTATGAAGCAATACAAAAGAAGTTTCAGTGTCTTAATTTACAACCTCCAGTGGTTTAAACTAGAAAGTTCTTTTGGAGCAAAAGTACTGTGTCTTTGCTTCCTCAGAGCTGCTGAGAAATTATAATTAGAGATTTTCCTGTTGTGTAAAGGAAAGGAATTCCTTTCCTTTCCTGTGTCTGCAAGACTTCTGTTCTCACTAAATTTGCTTCCCTGTCCCATTTCTCTTTCTGCAGGTAATAGAGGGAAAGCTGGCTCCATTCTTGGGCAAGGTCATTAAATTTGCCACCTCACACGTGTACAGCTGCAGTCTTTGTAGCCAGAAGGGGTTCATCTGCGAAATCTGTAACAATGGAGAGATCCTGTACCCTTTTGAGGATATTTCAACAAGCAGGTACAAAATATCTTATTTCATAAAAGAACACCTGAATGTGTAATATGCCGTTTTCTTTGGCCAAATTAGGCCAACTTTTAGTCAAGTACTGTATCTCTGTCTCTTACCCTGGATCAGGTTTCCCTTGTCCTTGGAGAACATGTTTCTCCCTTTGGTTTCCTGTATTTATTTCCACCCCTTACCTTGATACCTTTTTCCAGAATGAGATAACAGCTGCAAAGAAACAATGCCGAACTCTGCCTTATTAGGTAACAGAGAGTATTCAGGTTGAATTTTAAAATGAAGATTGAGGTGGAAGCATCTTCATAATTTTTTCAGGGCCAAATGATAGGCAATGGGAAACTGCAGTCCCAGAGGAAAGCCAAAACCGGACTGACCGGCAGGGGTAAAACTAGAGGACACTGGTGAGCTGCTGGGGTCTGGCCATGTGTTTTTCTCCGCAGATGCATGCACTGCAGTGAAGCGATGATAGTTTTAGGATCCAAAGGAGAGAAAATGGGAGTTTATGTGGGATGATTTTTCTAACCAAAGTAATATTTGGGCATCATCACATCCATGGATTGATGGATGATTCACAAATGATACATATTACTTTTCCTTTCATCCCAAAAGCGTAATAGAAATCTACACTGTATATGTATACACTGGCTTCTCTGGGCATGAATGTCATGGCTCATTTCCCATCCTGCAGGGCTCACTTATACTGTGGTTCAGAACAGAAGGTAAGGCTTGTAGCCAGGGAGAGTTGAAGCATGCAGGGTAGAGCTGAGATACCGAGAGTTGACTCAGCCCTTTTGGCCTCTCCTTAAACGTAAAGACTATTTGTAAACATGCAGGAATTTGGGTTGGCCCACACACTGAAAAACAGACACATAAACACGTAGACATGCAGACATACACACACACAGACACACACACACACACGCAGAGTTTGGCCTCCTGTTTTCTGCGCAGGTACTTAGCTTATAGAGCTTGCATAACCTAGAGATTAGCCTCCTTTTAAAGGGAGGAAGCTCCTCATAGCTTTTTTAGGGCCAAGGGAGAGGCAGTGGGAAACTGCAATCTCAGAGGAAGGCCCCAACCGGACCAACCACTTGGAGTAAAATCAGAAGACACTGGTGAACAGTAACTTTGCCCATAGCCTAGAGATTAGATACCTCTTAAAAATGCACACCAGGCTGGGCATGGTGGCTCACACCTGTAATCCCAGCACTTTGGGAGGCTGAGGCGGGTGGGTCATGAAGTCAGGAGATCAAGATCATCCTGGCCAACGTGGTGAAACCCTGTCTCTATTAAAACTGCAAAAATTAGCCAAGCATGGTGGTAGGCACCTGTAATCTCAGCTTCTCATGAGGCTGAGGCAGGAGAATCACTTGAACCCAGGAGGCAGAGGCTGTAGTGAGCTGAGATCGTACCATTGCACTCCAGCCTGAACAACACAGCCAGACTCTGTCGAAAAAAAAAAAAAATGCACACCACGTAAAACTTGTGCACAAATGTTCATAGCAGCAGCGTTTGTAATGGCTAAAAAGTAGAAACAACTTAATTGTCTACTAACTGATGAATGGACAAACAAAATGAACAAAATGTAGTATATCCAGTCAATGGAATATTATTCAGCTATAAAAAGGAAATAAAGTACTGATACATGCTGCAACATGTATTAACATTGAAAACATGCTAAGGGAAAGAAGCCAGATACAAACCACATATTACATGATTCTATTTATATAAAATGTCCCAAATAGGCAAATCCATAGAGACATAGAATGGATTAGTGGTTGTCTAGAACTTAGGGGAAGGAGGAAAAGAGTTACTACTCATGGGCATAGGTTTCTTTTTGGGTTGATGAAAATGTTCTGGAATTAGATTGTGGTAATGGTTGCATGGTCTTATGACTACACTAAAAATTAGTGAATTGTATACTTTAAAGGAGTGAGTTTTATGGTACGTGAATTATATTGCAATAAAATATGTTTAATGGCTGGGAGCATTGGCTCACGACTATAATCCCAGCACTTTGGGATCACTTGAGGCCAAGAGTCTGAGACCAGCCTAGCCAACATGGAAAAACTCCATCTCTACTAAAAATAAAAAAAATTAGCTGGACATGGTGGCAAATTCCTGTAATCCCAACTACTCTGGAGGCTGAGGCACAAAAATCACTTGAACCCAGAGGCGGAGGTTGCAGTGAGCAGAGATCACATCACTGCACTCCAGGCTGGGCAACAGCATAACTGTCTCAAAAAAAAAAAAAAAAAGAAGACTTGTTTTAGTAAAGAATTTCTAAATGATTTCCACTGAATAAATCATATGCTGGGCCACAAAACATGTCTCAATTAATTTTGGGACTATACCAAGTATGTTCTCTGGCACATGGAATTAAAGATTTACAGTAGAAAAAAATATGATTAGTCAGGTGTGGTGGCATACGCCTGTAATCCCAGCTACTCAGGAGGCTGAAGCAGGAGACTCACTTAAACCCAGGAGGCAGAGGTTGCAGTGAGCCAAGATCACACTACTGTACTTCAGCCTGGGCAACAGAATGTGACTTCATCTCAAAAAACAACAGTGGCCGGGTGCAGGGGCTCATGCCTGTAATCTCAGCACTTCGGGAGGCCAAGTCAGGTGAATCACAAGGTCAGGAGATCAAGACCATCCTGGCCAACATGGTAAAACCCCGATCTCTACTAAAATACAAAAAAAATTTAGCTGGGCAAGGTGGCAGGCCCCTGTAGTCCCAGCTACTCAGGAGGCTGAGGCACAAGAATCACTTGAACCCAGGAGGCAGAGGTTGCAGTGAGCTAAGATCACGCCACTGCACTCCATCCTGGCAACAGACCGAGACTCCATCTCAAAAAAAAAAAAAAATGAAACCCCAGAATATTTGGAGATTAGTCTATTTCTGAGCAACTCATGAGTCAAAGAAGGATAGTTTCCCCCCTTCAGCACAAGGGAAATTTTAAAATATTTTGAAATGAAATAAAATACATGAAAAACTCTTAAAGTAGCACTTAGAATGAAATTTATAGGCATAAATATCTGTATCAGAAAAGAAGAAAGCTCTCATCAGTAACCTAAAATTTCAACTCAAGAAACTGGATATAAAAGAGTAAGTTAAATCCAAAGCAAGCAGAAGAAAAGAAAGAATAAAGATCAGAGCAGAGCAGATATCACTGAAATAGTAAACAGAAAAATCACAAGTTAATTCCATGAGAGATCAACAAAGTTAACCTTTTAGCCACTCTGATCAAGAGATTAAAAGAAAATATACAAATTGCCAGAATCAGGAATGAAAGAGGTACAGAAATTAAGAATTATAAAAGAATATTATAAACAACACTATACCAACAAATTAGACAATTTAGATGAAATGAACACATGACTAACAAGACAAATTACCAAAACTGACTCAACAAGAAGTAGAAATATGAGTAGACCTAAAACAAGTAAAGAAACTGAATTAGTAATTTTGAAATCTTCCCACAGAGAGGCCAGATGGCTTCACCAGTGAATGCTATAGAATACTGAAAAAAATAATACCAGACTTTCACTCACTACCTTTATCTCCAGAGTGAGATATTCAGAATGAGATACTAGAGTTGCAAACAAACAAACAAACAAACATTGCCTAACTCCATCGTATTAGGTAACAAAGAATGTTCAGTTTCATTTTTAGAATGAGGATTGGTGAGGAAGAACCCCCAAAGATAAGGATGGGTTAGTTCTCCAAAAAGATGTAATAATCCTTAATGTATGAACAGAGTCAAAATATGTAAGACAAAAACTGGTGGAACTGAAAAGAGAGAGAGACAAGTTCACTGTTGTAGTTAGAGCCTTCAACACTTCTCTGTCCATAGCTGACAGGTCCAATAGGCAGAAAATCAGTAAGCATATAGCTAAACTAAACAGCACTGCCAATTAACGGGATCTAATTGACATCTCTAGAATACTTCATTGAACAACAACAAAATATACATTCTTCTCAAGGTCACGTGGAACAGTTACCAAGAGAGACTGCATTCTGGGCCATAAAAAAAAAAAAAATCTGAACAAATTTAAAAGAGTAGAAATCATGCAAAGTTTGCTCTCAAACTGTAATGAAATTAAACTAGAAATCAATAACAGAATACCTGAAAAATCCTAAAACATTTGGACATTTAAAGAAAAGTACTTTGAAATAACACAGGTTAACTTATATCCACACAAACACATGCATATGGATATTTATAGCAGCTTTATTCATAATCACTGAAAACTAGAAGCAGCCAAGGTGTCCTTCAGTAGTTTATGAAGGCCTAAACTGTGGCATATCCATACAATGGAATATTATTCAGCAACAAAAGAAATGAGCTGTCAGGTCACAAAGAGACATGGAAGAAATCTAAATGCATATATCCCAGGTGAGCAAAGCCATTCTGAGACGGCTACACACTATACTATATGATTCCAACTATGTGACATTTTGGAAGAGACAAAACTATACAGACAGTAAAAAAATCAATGATTGCAGGGTTTTGGGGGCTGAGAAGGGATAATTAGGTGAAGCACAGGAGATTTGTAGGGCGGTGAAACTATTCTGTATGATGCTTCAGTGGTGTATACATGACGTTATACATTTGTCAGAACCTATGGTTTTATATATCAGAGTGAGCCCTAATTTAAATGGCAGACTTTAGTTAATAATGATATTTCAATATTGATTCACTAATTTTGTAACAACTGTATCATAGGATTGCAAAATGTTAATTAAAAAAAGCACAACAGGAGGTGGTGGTGGAATATGGGAACTTGCTGCTCAATTTCTCTGTAAATCTAAAACCATTCTAAAAAAATGGTCTATTAATAAAAATTTAAAAACTGTTCAACTGAACGGTTGACTCAAAGCTCAAAGATAACAATTTTTAGTAAACCTTATTGGAACAATTTTAGAATTGCCGAGAAATCACAAATATAGTACACAGTTCCGATATACCACACACTGTTTCCCCATTAAGATT